GCTTGGTTCAAATACTAACCAAGATTTTTGTGTTAACTTTGTTAACCAATCTTGGCCATTGATTCTTACAATAAAGGGTTGTGATTAATCATGATAAAAAATTAAAATTTTAAATTTACAATTTCAAAGAACATATGTGAACAAAGGAAAAAAGGGTATTTAGATAAAAAAAATTTATGTAACTCCCATGTCATTAATTAGAAGTTACAAAATCAAAAAATCTTATTATTTTATTAATTTATTTTTGTTAATGTAAGAACCATATGAACACACACATACACACACACACACATATATATACATATATATATATATATGTGTGTGTGTGTGTGTGAACCATTGTGTCAAATACGAACAAAAATTGACATATATATGAACTTGGACTGTATAGCATTTATAAACACAATATGAATATAATAAGAATAATTGTTACACGAAAGTAAATAAATAAAAAAACAGGTATGAACACAACATGGACAGTTTGTGAACGATAGTTCCTTCATTATGAACACTTTCAGGAGCAAACCAATGTTGAGATATGCAGCTATTGCACATATGAACACAATATTAACAGTTTGTGAACAATAGTTCCTTCATTATGAACACATTCAGGAGCAAGCCAATTTTAAGATATGCAACTAGTGTACATATGAATACAATATGAACACTTGTGAACAATTTTTTAACAATTACATATGAATTCGAATTCCGATTGTAGTCATAGACGATTTTAACATTTTCATTCTCATTGTTGTCGATCTGTTTTCCAATAGGTTTATCCATATTACTCGGACGATATCGAAATCTTTACAATCAGAAATTCTTTAACAATTACAAAATCAATATTATTATGGATAGAATAAATCGAAATTACAAAACATAAACACGTATAAGAAAAATATCAATATTACATAATCATCAATTATTGAGATTTTTAGATTTGTAACTCTCAATTAATGATTTGGGAGTTACATAAATGACAAATTACGTAATTACCTTTGTCATTAATATATGAGTTGTATGTGTACCTAAAAAAAAGATTGAATATGATTGGTTGAGCTTGGTTAACAAAATTAATTAACACAAAAATTTTGGTTAGTATTTGAACCAACTCATATATATATATATATATATATATGGGTTGGGTTCACGTGAGACCACATTTTTACACATAAACTTCACAGCAAAAACGCTGTGAAGGTTTAAAAAAGTCGAACCTTCACAGCAAAAACACTGTGAAGGTTTTAAAAAGTTACTTTCACAGCATTTTGCTGTGAAGTTTCAAGTGTAAAATGTTGGTCTCACGAAAACAGGCTGGTCTCACATGATCCCAAGTCATATATATATAGAGGATATATATATATATATATATATATATATTGAAGCTAAAAATTATATGTGTTGATCAAGATTGCGTACGATTTATCTGAAAGCAAAAATAAGGCATCGTTTGTTTTTTTGGGGAAAAAAAACTCTTATTACCCTCTTATTTGATTTATTAAGAGGTCGGGTTATTCATATTATTTGTTTTTTTCAATTTTTCAAAGGCACTTGTATCTTATTGTCATCTTATATGGTAAAAGATAAGTCAACCTTATATTTGTCTTCTATTGTTCTTGAAACCTTTAGTAACGACATTTCTCAGTCGATTAATCTTAATCGATTATTTATCTCAATTGATCATTACCAAATCAATCCTCACATCTCCCAATTTATGTATTATAATAGGATTTAAATGTGTTATAATACCGTTAATGGCATATTTTCGTTTAAATGAATGCTAATTATATAATTTAAACATAAATTTCGTAATTATGATGAATAAATATGTGAAATTGTATAAGCTTATCTATAAATTCAACATTATAAATTTCTAATTGGTAAAATAAACAATTTAAATAAATTCAGACAGTAATCAGTTTATAAAAACAGTCTTGTTGATTCAAATTTCAAATTTATGTACCATCTTATATTAATCAAAAATGAAATAAAACTACAAACTTTATCATCTCTATAAAAAAAAATTAAATAAAAAAACCTTACCCAAGTAAATGTCATATCATATTTCTTCTCGATTGTTTTTGACAAGAATAATTCATTATTTTTTTAAAATTATGTTTTTAACCCTTAAATTCAAAAGTACGACATTAATTTTGTAGACGTGGACTTTGAATTTTGTAGACGTGGACTTTGAATTTTGTTTGGAACGATGGTATCATTTAATTATAAAATTAAATAAAATAATATAATATTTTAACAAATGTCATATAGTAGTTTGTGATTGTTTACCAATGTTTGTGGTTAATCGCTTATCAACAAAAAGGTTATCATAATTTATCTTATTATGTAACATTCTCGACTATCAAAATGAATTATTGGTAAAAGTCTTAAATCTAGTAAGTGTTTACTGGGTAAAAGTCTTTTTCCTCACTTACCAGATGAAACTCTCGATCATTATTAAATTTCTTATCGGATAAGATTTTTGGTACTTATCATATCCAAATGATATTAGTAAGTGTTTATCCAATAAACATTTAGTAAATAGCCCTTTAATTATTTAGTTTTTTTATATTTCCAAGGAAAAGGCTTGGGTTTGATTCCTTGCATGTATGTTTTGATTCAACTTTACTTTTAAAACGAAAGAATAAGTCTAGAAAACCCAATGGATTTTAGTGTTTGAATTGATTAAGTTATTGGACATTACAAAACATGTTAAATAACTCATTGGACTTTCTAAAACTTGTTAGATATCCTTATGACCTATACAACTGATTAATGTGGTAAAATAATGAAAAATGTTTAAAAAAGTCAATGGACTTTCATATATTAAACGATTAATTCTCTAAACATTTTTTGAACCAAAAAAGTACTTACATCTATAAAACAAAACAAATATATCAAAAAAGTACTTATATTTAAAAAAGATTATTGATGAAATTTATTTTAATTACAATTAAAATATATTATGTCAGTGATTTTTCAAATTAAAAAAGAATTTTAAAAAGATTATTGATTAAATTTATTTTAATTAAAAATAAAATATATT